CTGGTCCTGTCTGAGTCCCTTCAGAGGTGTGCACCAGGCTGGCAAGATGTCTTCTTCTAGCATGGATGTGAGCCAAGTGCTTTGATATTAGTATTAACACCCTCAAAGTTGCTGTGGAGATTTCTATAATTTAGTTGACTTTTTCTGTGAGCTAAAAGGACTTTTTATGTTTTTCCCCTTTCTCCACCAAATTCTTCTCCGCTTCTGGTGGAGCATCCAGATATGTAACGTGCAGCTCACGGTAGTTGCACTGCTGTGATGTGCCTCTCACATGTGTCTTCACTCAAGAGAGAGCCATCAAGCTTGGAGAGCTAGCCAGGCTCCAGGAATATCACCTGAAACCCAAAGTGCCGGTAGGCTTGTCCATCAGTGACAGTGTGAACCCGTATTGTTTCTGATGGCAGGTCCCTGTCCTCTGGGGTGATGTGAGAAGGACAGCCCTGTGACTGCAGTGTGGGGACAAACCCAAATACTCTGGTTTAGATGTGTGGTGGCAAGACTGCTCTCCCACATGTTTCCAAGGAGAAGAGAGGAGCCAGGAGGGAGTTGAAAGCTCTGTCTGATGTGACTGGCTGTTCGAAATAAATATGCAGAGAGCGCTTTGGAAGTGGTGAGCTGTGTTGAGGGAGAGTTGGACTTCATGGAAAACATTAAAAATTCAAAGCAGAGCTGTTGGCAAGTGATGGCCATTGAAGCAGAAAAGAGGAATGAGCAGAAGCCTGGCAGTGGAAGCTGGGGGAGCGGGATGAGGATAATCATCTATTGGAGGAAGTTAACGAGGCACAGCAGAGGGTGAGCATGAGAGTTGGGTTTTGGGAGTCATGGCACAGTTCTGTGGGAACATGATGGCAGATGTCAAGGAGAAAACACACTCTGGATGGACTCTGGTCCAGGGATGGACCAGGAGGGGTTGAGGGACAGGGTCCACCTTCGTTTACACTGTTAGTCTTTACTGTTGTGCTGCCTCGCGATGTTTCAAAGGTGGGCTTTGGTCTGCTGAGGGGCACTGTGAGTTAAGGCTGACGTTTTAAACCTCAAACAGGTTGAAATGACCTGGGAATGGGCGTATGTCCCCATCAGGACAACCCATAGAGATGCAGGAGGGGCTGTGTGCAGAGACCACCATGGCAACCCCAGGAAACAGTCTTCAGAGTGAGGGATTTGGGAGGCCGGTGGGGAACACTGGATTGTCCAAAGTTTGGGACTTTGTGAGAGGGGTTTGCGATTCTGACAGTGAGTGCAGGGCTGCAGCCATCTGCTCCCTGTCCCTGCAAACGGTTGCACCATAATTTATCCCTGAGCTGTTAACGGCACATTGGGAACTGGGAGACAAGATGTGCTGCTTCTTCCAACCTGGAGTATGGCAAGCATCCAGTCTGAACAGGGATTTTCCAAGGGTGACTCCTAAGGTGTCCGTGGCCTGAATGCCCTCTTTATAACTTTCTGATTCGGAAGTTATTTCAAATTTGAATGGGAAATAACCTTAATACACAAAAGTGAAACTTCCCATCAAATGAAAGTTTGACTCTTGAGTTTGCAGGGGGGAATAATAATTGTGTGTGCAGCTGGATGCTCTCTCTGGGGTTTTTAGAGAAGGCCAGCCTAGCTTGTGCCGTGTTTTGGTCCCGCAGGTGCTGTGAGCTGGCGGAGCAGCCCGTGTTGCAGGCACTTCAGCCTGGCAGTGTTCCTGCTAACACTTGGGTTAAGATTTCTCCCCAGTCCTGCTGCAAGTGTTCAAAGTAAGCAACTTCAAATGACTTCAGCCTGTGAGTTTCAACGTACTGCAACAATGAACAATGCAGTTCCGACTTTTCTTTTTTTTTGAACAATCAAAAAAAAAGATCCCCAATCCTCAAAAATTCATTGGTTTTCTGAAAATGTTGTGGGTGTTGCTTGCTTTTGGATTTTTTCCTTGTTGGCAATTGGGTGACCTATGAAATACCATAAGCTGCACAAAACGTTTATCCAGTGACAGCCTGAGGTAGCACAGGCAGCTCTTAGCGGGTTTATTTTCATTATTACAGCAATTTTAGGGCTGCATGCTGCAATTTTCACTTGCAGTGAGGTATTAAATTGAAATTACCCCAGATGTAATTGTCACACAAAATAATTCTGGACATGCTGGATTTAATGCTTTTCCAAGCTGTGGTTTTTATTACCCAGGCAAGTGCCAAAAAAACACTTGTAGTCAACAACTTAAACTGAAATCTGCCTTCTGAGGAGTCAGGATGTTTAGCTGCAGTTACACTGGTGGGGGGAAGGAAAAAAAAATGGAGACCAACTGGAGTAAAGTTTGGGAGGGCTCTTGAAGGAATGGCCTAAGGGTAAAATCCTGGGCAAGGGCAGAGTCAGGGTCACATAGGGACCTCTGCATGTAGATGCAGCAGCTCAACCTGAACCTTTTCAGGCTGTTTTTTTGGGGGAAGTGAATCTCACCTGCCGTGCAGTGCTGGTCACAGAGGTGAAACAAAGCTAGGGGTGCTGCCAGGTCCCTGCCTGCTCCATAGCAGCGGTGCAGTCGTCAGCCCCACTGTCGGGATGCGATGAGCCTCGTTAGACAGAAGTCAGGGGTGAGTCACAGAGTCAGTGACTAAGCTCTGGGGGTACTCATGTACGACGTTTCAGTGTTTTCCTCGTGTGTGTTGTCTAATTAGGCTGATTGGGTGCGTAGACATCTGGAGTTTTGAAATCAAGTTGTTGCCACGCACGAGGAGCCTTCATCACCACGCTGGCAGGCTCTGCCGGCGTGCACTAGCCCTGTCACTCCCACTGGTGGGTGATAACAGCACGCATCCTCCATGGCTTTGTTTATTAGCTTCTTCGCTATTGCAATAACGTAAGTAAGGTACTGATGGTTCTGTATTTCCCACCCTCTTTCATTCTTTCCCAGAAATAGCTTCCCCTGTGTGCTCTGCACAACCCCTCCTGATGCCGTGCCGGAAGTGGGTGGAAGGACACGCATCTGGGAACGCTTAGGGGATAATGGTGTATAAATAGCACAGGGAGAGCAGTTGCCGAAGTCTGTCCCTGCAGCTTCGCAGGGCAAGCGAGGGTTAAGCCTGAGTGTGGCAAACCAGGCACCGAGCACCAGCAGCAGCTCCTTGCTCATCATGTCAGGTCAGAAGAGCTCAGCTGAAGATGGTTTTTGGGTGATGCAAGGGGCTACAGTCGAGCCCAGTCGGGCCATGACCCAGTGCTGTTTAGTAATTCAGAAACTCTCTGCTTTTCGCATCCCTGAGATGTAACTGATGAATGAGGGTGTTGTTGCACGGGGCAGTGTCACTGTATTTTCTTCTGTATGCAGAATGGCCATGCAACTTTGAGGATGGACCTAGAATTAGAATTGGTTGAATGATGAATTTTGGGGGTTGGTGACTACGCTGGAAGAATAAGGTAGTAATGAGAAGTCCACTTCTGTCAAGTTGAGATAGGATTTGGGAAAGGTTTTAATGAGAGAAAGCAGCGCCCAATCCAGTGGGAGCTTGCAAGTATTTTGTCCCACCCAAGATCTCTTTTTTTTTTTCTTATCTTTGGAATTATTTCACCTGTTGCTCGTTTTTCCTTTCATTGTAAATAATCAGAAATGCAATTTCAAAATGAAAAGGTGAAAAACCTCCTTAAAAATAATATCTCAAGCATTTTGGCATTTCTGAGGTGCAACATGCCATGCTGATAGCATGAACCAGCAATATGTGGTTACTGTTACTTGCTTTCTTCTTCCCAACCCCACCTTAATTTTTCCATCTGTTTTTACTTCACCTTGCAGATACCGCGGCCCAGAGCTTTGGGGGAGCAAACTGATGGTTTCTTGAAAGAGTGGTTGCTCAGTTCTCTTCCCTGCTTCCTTTGAGGATGGTAGTGGTAGCACCTGGGCAGTAACACAAGGCAGGCAAATGGCTTGTGGATGGGAGCAGCATGTTGGCTGTGATGGGAAGCTTCTCAGGCTGGGCACAGGGTGCCCTCCTGCCCTTGGTCTGTCATCTTAAGGTCAACAAAGAGCCTGACAGGGACCTGGAAGGAACAGCACGGATGTAAGAGGTGTGTTTGGATTTCCTGAGCTAGGAATATGTTGGCGTCAGTCTATAAAAGCCACACATTTCATCAGCTAAAGGTCAAAGTAATTACAGAGTCTGCGACGTCTCCTGGGAAGGGGGCAGCAGGGACTGTGGCTGCAGTTGTGGGTTTTCACCTTCTGCTGGCTGGCTGGGAAAGCATTACATCCCAGCCTTCCCTGTCATCAAGTTGTGCCATTCAGGCAGAATGAATAAGGAAACAGTCAGTTTAGAAGCAGGATTTGGCTTACCTTGCAGCTGGATGGTGGAAATTGCAGCCTCGGGCAGTGGGAGTGAGGCACCTGGAGCTGCAATGATGCTCTTACCTCTGCTGGTGCCACCAGCCGGGTGGGTGTGAGAGTGCTCAGGTCCCTGCCTCAATTTAAGAAAAAAAAAGCTCAGAACAATAACCCAGTACTTCTGGAATGACACCGAAAGCCCCATGAAGGCCACGGAGCCATGGAGGCAGCTGCCCTCCTGCAGGTACCTACCTCACCGGTGGCTTAGCTTTGCTGTGAAGGACCTCTTCCTGATCCCATCGATGATCCCAACGTCAGTGAGGAGGATCTTTGTGGAAGGGGGTGTTGCCCTAACTAATATACAAAGGGAGGGCCTTTATATTCCCACTACCTGTTGGTGGGGGAGGCTGGTAGTGCCAGGAGGGTGTGCTAGTTGGGAAGCAGTGGTTGGAGAAAAGGGCTGCAAGCTGCCTGCCTCCTTTCTCATCCCTTCCTATTAATGACAGTTCAGCTCTTTTTGTTGCTTTAATGCTCAGTGACTTACTTGACAGTTTTTGGACTCCTTCAGAAAGGATTCATGCAGAAAACCTTTCTTTTTTTAATTTTAAATAGTGGCTGGAGGACAATCCAGTGATGGAGTCTGCTGCCTGTGAGCTCCCACTTTGAATTCCAGACCCTGAACGGCCTTTTCCTCTTTCCCCCTCCCCAGGTGTACGACTTTGCGCTATCGCCAGGACCTCCCGCCAACCAGTGTCATCATCACCTTCCACAACGAGGCCAGGTCGACCCTGCTAAGGACGATTCGGAGGTAAGAGCTCCCAGTCTGCTCTTTAAGTGTGAGTGGGCTACAGGTTTTCGTGAGTAAAGGCAGAATCTGTTTGCACTCACTGCAGCAATGGGACCAGACCTGCCAGCTACGGTCTCAAGTGATTACCAGGAGAAATTAGCGTGAAAACTGGTCTCTGAGACATAGGTTTTACAGGAGAATAAGTAGCTGTGCTCCCTCTTTAGGGTCTAGCACTGGACACTCTTGAGGGAACAGCAGAAGATTAGATAGAGCCTGGGACAAGAGATTTTATATCCAGCTGGGTATCAGTGTTCAGCTGTATTTTGTCCCAGTCCTGTAGGGACAGGTGTCACTGCTGACGTCTGCTCTGGTACCACTGTTTGAGCTTTCCTAGCGAGCCCTCGAGTGCCAGGAAGGTTTCCTAACTCAGAAGCCCTAATACTGCACGTGCAGACTAGATTTTCAAGGACTGTTTCTGTACTTCTCTGGATACACAGTGTAGCACTCTGGGTGTGTGGCCATTCCTTCATTTGTTGGTTGGTTGTTGGCTGTGTTTTGCTGGAGTGCATAGACTAAAGGTTTCAGTTTCACCCCAGGTTTTTGAAGTCAGTGTTTAATCCCAAAGTGTGCCCTGAATCTGCAAGTTCTCTTGTGGGAAGATTTAGTGAGGTGTTCCCCCACACCTTCGAGGGGTCTGGTGGGTTCCTCTGTGGCGAGCTTGAGTGTGCTCTGCTCTGTGCCAGTAGTGTTTTGCCCATCTATCTCATGCCCACGTAGCGAAGGTTTGTGCCCTGCTGCACGCCTTGTCAGTTAAGCCCTGGCACCCCCAGGGACCCACTTGCCATCGTCAGTACTGATCAGACTGGGGCTGCTGGTTGAGAGGGGACTTCAGCTGTGCCCTGTTCACCGTCATGTCCTCGCTGGGCTCTTCTCTGCAAACAGCATCCTTCCTCAGGTGGATGCATCCAGTGCCACAAGTGAGTTTGACAGTCCTGAAATTGAATTCCTGCTTTGCTGTGCGGTTTCATGCCCAAACCCATCTCCTTTGCTTTACATTTAATACTATCACCGCTTTCTCTCTCTGGGGTGTGTGGATTTCGGGTGTGCATAGCACTGGCAGTTGGGGCTGTGTACCACCTCCGTGATCCTCCATCTTCTCTTTTATCTTTGCAGTGCCTTGCATAGGTTCACCATTCTCCAGAACCTGTTGTAACAGAGATGGCAAGGCAAAGCCCAGTGCAGTCCTCTAGTCCCTGAGATACAGGATAAAGTTCAGGGATGGACTTTAATCTCATTTCTCCCTGTAACTCTGTACTTCACTGTCCCGGCAGGTAGGATCAGGAGTGCTGTTGTCACATGAGAGATGTTAGACCCATGATACAGCTCTTATGCGTGGATCCCACATATCTGGCTTCTTTAGAGAGCTGTTCATTGCTATGATGGCTTGGTTAGAAATACAGGTAGTTTGTATATTTCCTCCTTCCTCTCGCATATTGTCCTCTGAAGTTTCTGATTTCCAGACTTTCTTCCTTGTTCCTTTTCTTTGCTTGACTTGAATAGTCGGCTTTACTGCCTTCCTTAACTGGTTGTGTATGATTTCCACCACAGCTTTGCCCCCACACACTGCTCCTCCCTGCTCATGTGCCCCATTCCAGTGTCCGTGTTTTGTCTGTGTGGAGGTTTTCCCCAGATCTGGGGTCCCTTCTGAGCCCTCTTTCCTGTGGGCTGATCTCCAAATGGTGCCAGAGCCCTGTGGAGCATCCCTCTGAGCTGCACCGCAAAGGCAAACCTGGGCAGTGAGGAACTGAGATGACAGCCTTGGCATCTCCCCTGCTTCTCCCTGAGCTGAGATCCTCAGGTGTCCTGAGCTGACCCTCCTTTTTCTGGTCGCCATAGTTTGGAGGTGACCTCCTGTCATCGGGGTTCACTATTTTTCTCCTGGGTGCAGTACTCGGAGCCTTGCTTGGATCTAACTGGTCCTAAGGGTACCAGCCCTTGGCCTCAAGTTGTCCTGGTGACGTGGTTCCTGCTCTGCTCCTCTCCAGCCATGATTGTGTATGTATTGCCACCTCCCTGTCTCTTTTTGGACCCAGCTGAGAGCTCATCTGCCTCTTCAGTCTCTGTAGGTTAATTTGCTCTGCCTTCTGACTGCTCTGTTTTTTTCCCCTGCCTTGCTTGGCAAATGCTTAGTTTAATTAGATCTTCCAGATAACTCCATCCCACGGTGGCTGTAACAACATGGATCATTTTCCGTGGCCATTCCAAACAAACTCTGTCCTCCTGACACTGCTTTGTGCCTTTTGGAGCAGTCTGTGGCCAAATGTCTCCAAGAGCTTTGCGTACAGCGGTGAGTAAAACAGGCACCTCTTCTACCCTCTTCTCCCCAGTACGTCTCCACGGTGTGCTCTTGGTATAGCCCAGCAGACAGATGGACAGACTGAGGAACTGAGAGGTGATTTGTCTCTGGCTGATGGAAAATTTTGGGTTGCAAACCTGGTTTTCTGAGTTCCAGCAAGTTGAGGTTTCCAGTCTCACTGCAAAATGGATGTTCTCAGTTAACAGCTGTGGCAGGAGCAAGAAACAGGGCAAATGCACAGTGCTTGGCTTGTCCAAAGCCACGGTGTGATGGGGCACCACCCCCTCAGAGGGAACACTTCTTACAGGACCCTATATAAACACAGAGGAGCTGGTGAAGGTACCCTGTAGCAGAAGAGAAATCAACTCTTGCAGAAGAGACCACGTATGTCACGGACAGGATGGATTTTGCTATTCCTACATTTTTTTTGGGTGCTTGAGAGCATTACAGCTGACCGAGTGCTGAGCCTGAGCTGTATCTCAGGCTCAGTGTGTTGCATTCAGCTCTCGGGGAGGATGCGAGTGCTCTGACCCGTGGAGCAGAAGCACCACGGTACATGGCCTCTGCAGCACTCCTTACGCAAGTCACGGCGCGAGCGTTGGTGACAGTTCATTTATGAACAATTTGCGTCGTCAGAGCTGTTGAAAAAAGCTTGTGGACTGTGTTGAATAATGAATTAATTTAAAAGTTTCATGATCTTTTCTCTGACTGTTTGCCAGCTGGACGAAAGGAGGGGAAAAAAAAAAAAGAAAAGCTAAATTAATTAAATGCCCAAATCTCTGCAAATGATGTAGTCAGCGTTTATAAATGCAAATGTCGCTATGCTTGTGAATACGTACAAGTGTCCAGGTAGTAGGGGATGGGTGTCATGAGAAAGGGAATAGAAAAGGGGAGAAGAGGCCAGAAGGGAGGAGGTGGTGAATAGCAAAGTCCCTCTTCAGATTTTTTTTTTTTTTTTTTCATTTTCTCTGACTGTGCAGACAGTGAAGAAACCACTATTGGGTTGTTGTTTCAGGGACTCAATTATCAAATGACCTTGGGCAAGTTTCTTGTCCCCCTGTGATTCGGTTTTGTGTATTTCAAGCTCCAAGGCTCAGTACATTAGAGATGGTGAGTCTCCAACAGTATGGGGATGGGACTGTGTGAGTAAACCCAAGGAGGGAAGGCAGGAGCAAGGGGGAGAATAAGCCATACAGAGGCATTAAAAAAAAAAAAAAACCCAAACAATTAATTTCTTCTTTCCTCTCTTTCTATCCTGTGCTAGCCTGGATTTAGGGAGGGAATCCAGCTCATTGCCCAGCTCCTCCAGCTTAAGGATGTCCCCAATGCTATATAGCAATCACTGGAGGAGATGGAGCAGCGTGGCCAGGAAAGATGTGCACCTCGTCACCTGGGGCTGGGCTGGGTGCTGGCTCTCTCGACAGCAATGGGTCATAGTGCCTCCCCATCATGTAATTCCATGTGGTTAGGGGGAGCTGATCCATCCCTTGCTTATCATCATCCTTTCTTCCCATCCCTCCTCTGCAGGCATCAGCATGCTTGCATGCCGAGATGCAGCTGCTGCTGGGTGCCCAGTTGTGCTTTCAGGGCTCTGTCCAGTGTGGCATCCCCGGCTGAGGTCTGCAGGGAGCAAGACTTGCTCTGTGCCCCATCCCTGGGAGTGTTTGGGAGAGAAATGCTGCCTGCCCTGCAGGCAGGGCTGGGGAGGCAGAACTCCAGGCAGCTCTGCTCCCAGACTGTCAGAGACCGTTGTGCTCTGGCTTTCTGCAGTAAGGCAATTCTGGGAGCCTGATGGTGGGTCGGCACTGGCACAGGCAGGGCAGAAGCTCAGGAGGCTGTTGTGCCGGTAAGGGAGAGAGTGAGACAGTCCCATTTACTCTGTTGAGTGGTCTTTATTTATTTATTCTTCAAACTTGCAGCTGGGGACCTCAGAACAGGAATAAGGGGACTTAATTATTTACCTCTTGCTGACAAACCAAAACGCATCCTTTGGCAAAAGTCCTGACGCGAGTGCTGTGAATACCACATCAAATATTTAGATCATTAATTAGCAGGGAGAATGTATCACACCTTTCATTTTCCAGCAGTTGCGAGTAATAGCAGTGACATCCTGGACAGCCAGTACCTCGCACCGCTGCCGTGTCTGCATCCAGACACATCTGAGGCAGGGAAATGCCAAAGCCGCGCGCCTCCTTCCTTGGGCAGTGGCAGCACCGTATGGAGTCTGTGCCATAGCTGAAACAAGCCTGATTAAAGAAGCACAAACAAGCCAGGTGTTGTGCAGAAACCGTATAATTAGCACTTTGTGCTGACTATTTTTTATTTCTTTTTTGTTCTGCTTTTTGCTTAAACCCTGGACTTTTTTTTTTTTCTTAATTTGCTAATCATTTCTCACGGTGACTAAGTACACAGCCCTCCATGCGCTTTTACCTTTTGATGTTAACATAAGAGAACTCTTGAATTTCAAAGAGCTTGGTGGGTATTTGAAAGAATAAAATGCGAAAGCCGCAGTGTAATCAAAGCTCATTATGGTTATTCTTGGTGTGATGTCTCTCTTCCTACATAATTAGCCATTTTGGGTTGTTGAAGCAGTTCATTTTGGTGGGCATTTTCTTGCCGTGCTCTCGGTCTGATTTTAATAATTGTGACCCTTGGCCCTTCGAACACTTTATTATAGTCCCAAAGGTTTTTATTTTTCACCCTAACAAGTCCCAGTATGTTGCCATGGAGAGAATTAATGGGTTCGTGAGTTCCTGAGGATCGATGTCCACACTCACCTCTCTAAAGCAACTGGTATTCTGGTTGATGACCAAAAACATGCCGACCTGTTCAGAAGATCTGAACAACTCCCTGCAAATATTTTCCGTGCCTTACATGTCAGGGTGACTTTTGCACTGGTATGTATTTGGAGGTGAAATTGTTGAATCCAGTGCTTACCTTTGGGCAGATGGAAAAGGTTCCCAACAAATTGTTGAGGAAGATGAAAGAAGGACCTTAAGGCAAAAATTTAAGGTGAAATTCTCCGTGGTTACATCTGCATGATGTCTGCTAAATCCATTGACACAAAGAGAATTTCAGCATTAGCTTTTCAAGATAATTCAGCAGTGAATCTGGTCTTATGGGGCTGAACAAGCGTGAGCACTTTTTGGGCTAGAGGCAGGAGTTTTCATTTCAGTCGTAACAGGTCTTTTGGCGATTTAAGGGAGAAAGTGTTGTGATCTCTGGGAAAAGCTGTTTTGATTTGTTAAAATATGCCCATCACTGCAGTATATCTATGTTTGATTTCAGGGGAAAAATTCTGTAAATAACAGAAGGACTTCAAAGCACTGTAATATTAATTGTCTTCTGATTTTATCCCTGTAAAAGGAAAAAAAGCCGTGCACACACATAAAGAAAGAAAAGAAAGTATAAAAAAATTTAAAGCTGAGATGCACACACATAAAGAAAGAAAAGTATAAAAAAATTTAAAGCTGAGCAAAGGCAAAAGTAATAGAAAAGCTGTCTTTGAATTTTTAAAAGTGCTTTTATAGTCTATCTGAAAAAAAGATAAAAACCCCTGTAACATTGAAAACGTGACATGTTCGGTGCCTCCGATTCCCGTCCTCCCTGAGGAACGCCTTGGGAGGGGTGTTTATAATCTCCTGTGTTTCCAGCATCATGGGTGCATGATTGTGTGATGCACAGAGCACAGGTAGAAAATACGTCGGAGATGTGAATCTGGCTCTGCTGAAAAGCCGGCGCGCTTGCTGTCAGCTGTGGTGCAGCTGCAGCATTGAGTCTTTGCTGTGGATCTCCTGGTGCTTGCATCAACAGATCCCTAGTGACAGTTTGGGGGGCTTGTGGGTGTCTGTGCACAGATTCATCAGAGCAATGACGAGCTCAAAGGCTGCTGAGGTCAGTGGACATCAGGTCCTCAGAGCCGTGGTGGACCCAGTCTTTGGACCACCCTCACCAGGGCTTTGTTCACTCAGGATTTGGGATAGTGTCGTGCTGTGGGGGAGTCCCACAAGGGAAGTGTTGAGAGAGGGCTGTGATGGTGCTGGGTGAGGCTGCTTTCTGTGCTGGGGGGTGCTATGTCATCCATGGTGGTGTCTGTCATTAACCCCATGGAAGGATGATGGTTCATGGCGTTGGGGAAGCCTTGGAGACGTCTCTCCCTTGTCAGCCTGTGCTCTGACCTTTTCCCCCTTGCTCCAGACAACCCTGTGCATCCCACACATGGCCATCATTGGCATTCAGGGAACATCTTCCCTGATTTACAGGATGGGAAGACAAGGCACAGAATTGGCAGCAAACGGCTTGACCTGGGAGCAGTGGGAGCCTGCAGCTGAGCCAAGACTGGGCTGCACATCTCCCCAGCCCAGCGCCTAGGGGACGGTCCACGCTGGATTTTCTGCCTTAAGAGGTGCCTGATGGGAATTCCTCCAAGTCAGAGTACTGCTATGAGCAGACTATGTCTGAGCCTGCAGCCCAGTGCAGCAACTTTGGTTGAGTTACTCTTGCTGGGACCACTAAAAGCAGAATCTCAGCCCCTTTGTGAGCACCTTCCTGTAGAGTTTAGCCCTGTGGGGCACTTCTGGCAGGTGAATCTATAGGGGAGACTGGGCAGAGGCAGGCTTTGAATATTCAAGTTGCCTTTCCTTCTCCCTCTCTCGGCGGGTTATTTATTTATTTTGCTGGCTTTTTTACAAGTCTGCTTCCTGTCCTGCAGGTTTCACCAAGTTAGGTTTCCAGGCAATCAGCGCTTGTTAAATATTCCACTGAGCATGATATTGCTCTCCTGTCTCTCTGTACTGACGCTCAGCTGTGGTAATTTGCTGAACTCAGCTCTTGCATATGGGGATTTTTTAAAAATAACAAACCTATTAATAATAATAATTAAAAAACACTTGACAGGTGGGAACAGCACACTTAAATTGCTCTGTGTGCCCCAGCAGGAGGAGGGGTGTTCAGCCACGTTCTCTAATACTTTGTGCAGGCTGCAGGCGTTGGCGAGGCGATGTTGTCCAACGCTGCTTGGTGCAAGCCTTCGTGATGCTGGGGTGCCCACAGCAGCTCCTGGCTGTTAGGGCTCCCACCATGTCTGTTGCTTTAGGGGGGCAGAGGCTTTCTTTTCCTCCCCACCCCAACTTTAACATGCAAAGCATCTGAAGTGCTCTGTGTGTGGGGGAAATCATGGCTTTTGCCAAGATCCTGAAACTGGAGGAGGCTGGGATTGTGTTTCCAGGGAAAGTAATTAGGGGTTTGGGAGTGATGTTAAGGAGCTCCGTGAGGGAAGTGCCAGACTTATGCACTTTGGTCTGAGATAAAACCCCCTTTTCTTCTGGGGGATAAAAAGAAACCCGAGTCACGGAGGGAAGATTAATTTCAAGCATCTGCCTTAGGATGTCCTGTTCTCCTTCCAAAAAATTCTCACTCAACTCTTTCTTTCTCTAGAGGGTTGTAATTCCAGTACCTGGTGGGTGCTGGCATCTGACAATAGGTGTAGAAGCTTCAAGCCATCCTGGGCAGGTGGGCTTGAGGTTTTTCATCAAGATTTCATCATAGAATTGCAGCCCTTTGGGTGAATGTCCTTGGATATTTGGGAATGATGCTGTGAGACCCCTCTGGCTTCCTCCCAGCTGGGCTGATGGCTCCCAGACACCTGGATTACCCGTGGATCATGCCCTTCAGGGCCCTCTTGACTAGGGTCTGGGCCAGGGACATGGCTTTCCAGATTTCCAGGCTTTCTGCTGGAGCTTTGGGAGACTGTGAGGCTGGGGAAACCTATTAATGAGGATCTGGAGGTGTCAGGGGCTTCAAGGGGTGTCTGTCTTCTTATGCCAGCAGTAGGATTGAAGGTTTTTCCTAAGCCAGACCAGAAGGCAGACTCAAGTGTGAAATTTTGGGGAGGTTTATATCCTGTTTGAAAAAGGAACTGCACTCGTGGTGAAGGTAAAGGAGTTTAAAATTTTGAATGGCCCATGCCACCCAACTGGCATTACCAAAGCCCATGTGAAGCCCTCAGGAGATTTTTGGGATGCCCTGGGGTTTCTGCCTCAAGAAGTCAGTCTTGGCCCTTTAATAGGGCAGGATTTTATGTACGTGTAATTCTGCCGTCCTTTGCGCTGTGCGAGAACAGGTCTAGACTTTTTAATAACAATAATTAAAAAAAAACCTTGGCGGCATGATTAAGGGAAGATTGTAGCTTTCAGCCACATCTGTCCACCTGGAGGGAGCTGCAGACCGCATCCTGCCGCCTCTCGCTTTCATTAAATAGGCGGGCTCCAGCCCTGCTCTTCTCCTCTCGGCATCCTCTGAAACGCAGTCAGCTCACGGATGAGAACGGGAGTTGTCCTGCCACGGCTGTGAGCTCTGTAAGGATGGGCTTGAGCTGGGTAATTTTTGCTGTGTCGGCCCCGCTGCCGGCAGACACCGTATCATTAGCCCCAGGAGAAGTGGCGGGGTGATGGCAGCTTTCCTGTAAGCCCCCTTAGGAAACTCTGTGCGATGCGCGTGTTGCCGAGTAGCCTGTTTCTCCTGGCTTTCCGTGATGCTCTGCATTTGCTCACAAAGGTGTTAAGGGTGAATCTCAGCTATTTCCCAGGAATACCTGGAATATTTCGCAGGCTCTTAGATCAGGCTGATAGCTGGGCATTGTAGGTTACTAGGGTGGTGGTGGGGGATGGTTTCTGGGTCTTATCTAGTAGATTCTTTCTGGAAATCCAAGCCTGGTCTTCTGTGCTTTCACAGGGATTGGTCCCTAGGCTTGCCTGGCCCATTTGTTGGGTTGTTGAGTTGGTCAAGCACTGTCACGGATTTTCTCTCTTCATTCTTTAGCGTGCTGGACCGCACCCCAGCGCACCTCGTCCATGAAATCATACTAGTGGATGACTTCAGTGATGATCGTAAGTGACCCTTTCTATCTTAAAAGCAAGGGGCCAAACCAGAAGAGACTGTGAGAAACTGGGGTCTATGCAGAGAGGGGGGAAGAGTTTGTCGAAGCGGAAGGAAATTTAAAGCTCCGTAGGTATGGAGGGCAAACCCCACCATACCAGGTCTGCATTGCCATGGGAAGTAGAGGTTTTATGATGAAACCTCTTCTCATGAAAATAATATGAGAAAAGAGCATGGCGAATCATTTTTATATCCAGTAGTCATGAATCCAGTCCTTACCTGGTTGTATTCTGCTGCAGCCATGGTGTGTTTAATGTGGTTTTCAGATGCAGCCAGGAGCAATTCTAGGCTTACGCTGCTGGAATTGCACAGGATAATGGTAGTCTGACCCTCCTGATGCATGCATGTGTTCTGCATAGGTGGCCAGCAACTCTTGACTGACCTTTTTTTCACCCATTTAAGGAGGATTTTCTCGCATGGGCTGCCCATTTCTGAGATGCACCATGAATAGCGCCGTATGCCACAGACAGCACACATCCACCTGCCATTCTCTCCTGGTTAATAGCGTGACTCAAGTGAAATCAATAGGTCCGATCTCCAACAAAGGCCCTGGGGCTCCCGGGGACCTATCCCAGCTAAAGACCTTGCCTGGTGAGATGGGCAAGTGGAAGATCCAGGTGCTGAGAGTAAGTGCTCAAAAGAAACCTGTCTCAGGCATAAAAAAGATAAAACACACCTAGGCTGAGCGGTCCATGGCACTCACATTTCAAGGATCTGCAAAATGAAGCCATTTACTAGGAAACTTGGAAACAAAGCTAGGGAGGTTCTAAAAAACAACAACAAAAAAGGGATCTATGCTTTGCTCTTGGATGTTATAAATAGGCACTGCCTCGGAGAGCATTAGGGACAGATCCACTTCTCAGCATCGACACCTCCCTGGGGAGTTGATGAAGCCAGGAGAAGGGGTTGCAGTGATTATGGTGAGCTTAGGAGCGACTCCGGTGCACGGGGGGGCCAGGCTGGGCAAGCCTGGGGACCGGCAGAGCGGCTGCGGTGGAGAAAGGAGCAGTTTCGGGGACTGGAGCTGCGCTGGCGTACAGCAGAGCAGGCTTTTTGAAGGATGGAGAAAGTAAACGCTGATTATTTGGCTAAACAGACAAAGTGCTTGCCTTCCTGAAAGGAGAAAGGTTTGCAGAAATGCAGGTCCCCTGTTGCATCACAGCTGATGGCATGAGCTGGGGAGAAGGATCTGGGCTGGGTTTAAACTCATCCCAGGGCACCAAAGGGGAAACTGTTTCCCGTGTAACTTAGAGCAGCCTCTCGGCTACTCGAAATCAGCACTTCTCAGCTGTCTTACATCTCCTTTCCTATGATAGTCTGCGGCTGCTGGCATCCAGTCTGCATGCATTTACATAAAATACATGTATTTGCATAATACGCTGCACACGCACATGGTCAGCTTTTTCCTCTGGAACTCACCCCAAGCAATTGGTGCTTTTATCTCGTGCCTAGTCGTGTCTCATTTCTCACCTCTGTCTGTCCCTTGGCCTTTTGTTTGCCGGGATGCAGTTGTTCCACACATGGGTTCCTGCTCATCCCAGCACATTTCCATTGTAGGTCCGTAGCCAACCCCTGACACTTCTGCTCCCCCAATGCGCACAGAGCAACTGTACCCGAGTTGCTAGGGATCCCAGTACTGCGATGTCTCCTGTCAACTAGGATTGCTGGAGGGGATGAAAGCACTTGGAGGCGCCTGTGGGTGCACAGGGTGGGTGGTGGGGATGGGGCACACGTGTGTATGTTTGTAGTGCCGAGGAAGAAGAGTCAGAGAAGTGGAGAGGGGCAGGAAGGGGTTGTGGAGGTCACGGAGTGGGTATGCAGAGGTAGAGGGGGCTGTGATGGGTGCAACTGCTGGCAGACCCTGCTCTCTCTGGGAGAAATCCAGGTGAGGAGGGATGCTGGGGCTGCAGGCAGCACCAGGGCAAGAGCAAGGGCACCAACTGTGTGTGAGATTGCAGGACCTCCGTAGCTTGGGTGTGGGTGGCTGTGGGGCCTCTCTACCCCACAGAGCTGCTGTCCCAGGCACGAGGAGTCCTTGGATGCTCTACAGGGCTCTCTTTGACCATCCCTTTCTTCTTGCTCAGGGCTCTCCGGAGGCTCCTGCCCTGCCACACAAACATGCATCAGACGGCTTGTTGCTTTGCAGCTACCAAAAATAGTCATTTGCATTAATGTGCAAAAACTCTGATTCTGACCCCAACCACGGCTCTTCTACACTGACTTTACAGTGGAATTCAGCTGTTCTCAGTGTAAATCTGTTGGGCTTGCATTTGTTTTATGAAAACTGCTGCTCTGCCAGTCCTGATTTACACTGCATGAGCTGAGCAGTAAGACTGCTGTGCCCCAGCAGTGCTATCACCCTAACGAGCCATCAGCCAGTGCAGCACGAGGTTCTCTCCTTCCTCCCAGTCTCCCCTAGGACCGTTTCTGCTGCCAAAGCCACTGTGAGGGTGGCTGAGGGTGACATGTCCTCCCTTTGTGTTTCCCAAGCTGACGACTGCCGCTTGTTGGGCAAGCTCCCCAAGGTGAAGTGCTTGCGGAATGGACGGCGAGAAGGTAAGAGCTGCCTGCCCACGACCCGCTTTGGGAAACCCAGATTTCGGGAGGTGTGAGAGTGATGGAGCCTTGAGGGGGGACCTCAGTGGAGTGGGTAGTGAGGGAAGTCAGTGGCTCCTGGGGATGGGGGGCCCTGATAAAAGGAGTTGTGGTTTGAAATGAATCCCCCCTCTCTCACTGGAAAAGATGGGACTATTAAGATATCCAATGAGGCTCAGCTGTAGCTTATTAGCCAGAAAATTAGAACAGGCAAAACAAAGCCCCGGGACTTATTTTTAAAGATGTTTGCTCTAATGAAAGAGGAGATCTGCTCCTGCTGCTTCTGTGGGGTTGGTTTTTTTAAAAAAAAATTAATTATATTTGAAAGATTAGGAAGGGCTATATGGAGGATGAATGTATGTCCCACTGGGCTGCTGCTGGCAACCTTTTGAGACACTTTCCAGTTCCCCATAGTCTGAATGGGTGTTCTCAAGTCCTGCTTTGCAGTATTAGGAAAACAAAACCCAAAGATTTTCATGCTGAAAATCAGAGGTGTGAGTCCAGGTGTGTGTCAGACTGGGGAGGTGGAGGAGCAGAGGGGGTTTGTCTGTGGATTCTTCTTGCAAGAAGGTTTCAGGTCTGATGTCAGGGTGGCATGACCCCTGCCATGGATGTAAGAGACATACCTGCTTTGGTAGGAGGGTGGGGGAGGTCTCCATAGACCTGCAGCTCCTTCTCACCTTTCTCTCTTGTGTTACGGGGTTATATATGTGCTCGCACCCTGCACTGCATGGACCTGCAGGTATTGGTGCTCTATAAAACCATCAGTATTTGGGAATCCAGCCTGGAGGGCTTATCTCACTTAATACATCGCAGAAGCTGTATCCCTCAGGACCTGCCAGGATTTGGGAAGGGGTGGGGTAGATAGAGCAGACCATGCCTACCCACAAGATCTTAGAAGTTGCAGAGAGAGATACAGGGAGAACCTGAGTTGCAGGAGGTAGAGAGATACAGGGAGAACCTGAGTTGCAGGAGGTAGAGAGATACAGGGAGAACCTGAGTTGCAGGAGGTGACCTGCAGGTCACCTGCAGGAGGTGAGCAGTCCAGGCAAAATGCTGGACTGCTCCAGGGTTTATCCTCTTGCTCAGAGACTGTTTCTTGACCCCTTTCCTCTAGGGAATTTTAGTATGAAAGCCAGTGACCTCCTTCTGCAGGGACATGATGTGTGGCTGCTCCCTGAAACCCTTCTGGCTCTATCTGTCCCTGTTTCCCTTTGTATTACTACTGTTTCTCCTTCATCATGAAGCTCTGCTCCCCTTGAGCAAACCGCGTGTCCTCTTGTTTGCCAACGGACCGTCTCCTTTCTTATGCTGTGGCTCACTTGAGCATCGACTGCAGGCAGGAGGAGTGTCAGAAAGCTGGTTGACCCCAGTATAAATAGGAACAGAGCATCTTTAAGAGCAGTGGTCTTGCTGAAGAGTATGAAAACCTCTCGTATGGTCTCGTATGAAACCCATGCGTGCAGCTGTTTTCCATGACCTCCCACTTTGTTAATTTTTCTCTCTCACAAATGCATGCAGCAATCCATCTCCAGCTCTGAAGGGCTCTAAATTCACCGTCCGGGCCCTGATGAGCCCTTCTTAGAACCATGACAGCTGACCCTCTTTCCTTGGTGGAAGAAGTGTTCCCACGGAGCCACAGATCAGCAGTGCCCTCAGGGAGGGAGAGAGATCTGGGGGTCATGGGGACGTGGAAAGGGGTACAGCAGGGAAAGGTCAGCAGGCTGAGACAAGCCTAATTCTGGCACAAGGTGATCCCAACCTCGACTCCCCTGGCCCGTTCCCCATTGACTTACATCTGTGCTAGATTTATCACCTGCAGGGGGTTATGAAAGCATTTTGAGTCATGTTTTACCCCAGAAGGTGACAGCAGAAATAATTGTGCAAATTAAGGATTGGCATAAATGCCATAAATCATTGATCTTGTTGGAGCCATTTATTTGCTTTGGTGACCTTGGAAATGCTTGCCATATCTTGCAGCGCTGGGAAGGAGGTAATGAACCCCAGCCATGTTGTATCTGAATGGGATTTAGATGGGTCAAACCCCAGGAGATGCGTGAGGGCAGAAGACTATGCCAGAGGAGCCTGGGGACGTTACCCAGCCATCTGGGTGGCCGCTGACATGGTGTGTCCCTGAACAGGTCTGATCCGGTCCCGAATCCGAGGGGCAGATGTTGCACAAGCAGGAGTCCTGACCTTCCTCGACAGTCACTGTGAAGTGAATAAGGACTGGCTGCTTCCTCTGCTGCACAGGATCAAAGAGGTGAGTGCTCCGGAGAGACCAGGGCCACCCTTAGGGGACGCATCGCTGGTCTCCACCTCCTCTTCCCTCTCAATGTCCATAGACCACCAACTGCATGCAGGCACACGAGTAAGCAAGCAGTGGGCTTTTGGGGTGCAAAGTGGGCTTTGCTGATCTTCCTCCATGCAGCAGCCGGGTAGGGTTGTCTCCGTGACTGGGAGAGCGTGTGAGTGGGTAGGATAAGGGGCCTCCCGGGGCAGCGGGGCTCTTAGTGGCAAGCAGAGGTTGAATGGAGAAAGGGGAGTACGTGGGCAGTGCTCCAGCAGAGTTTTTAATTAGACTCATGTAAAATGCTCAGTGCTGCTGATTTAAGGGAGTGACGGCTCCTTGAATAGGGGCCGATTTAATTTCATGCAAATTAAACCCTAATAAATTGATTTAATAGGATTTAAATTCTGCTGATTTTGGAGCAGACAATGACATTCGCCTTTTGCCGGCGGCAGCTCTCTTGCCAAACGTGCGCACAGAGGCTCCCAGCTCCTTGTCACTTGGGTCAGAGGGAACTCTGGGCTGATGACCTGCTGGCACAGTGCTGGGGATGAAGCCTTCAGCTCCAGCATGGGTACATGTTCCTTTCCCTTCTGTGTGCCTTGTTCCTCCACTCTTGCTACACCTCTGGCTCTTCTTTGCTAGTATTTATTACCCGGTAGTTTTAAAGCTACTGCATTATGTGGAAATACGGACAGCTGAGGATCAAGGGGAAGCCGAGGTGGTGGGTTATGGAGAAACCTGCTGGGCTGGTGTTCGCGGTGCCCCTCGCCCAAGGCATCCTGCTTTTCACACCTCCATATGGGATAGCTGTGCTGGTTGGGCTGCACGTCCCCGTGGGCAGCAGCGATGGGACAGGGGGAAGGGAGGCACAGCACCGGGTCCGGTCCCTCCGTGGTGGGCGAGGGCAGTGGATGCTGCTGGCACTTGTCACGCAGACAGCTCTGGGGGTGTCCCGACGCTGGTTTGCAGGCTGGGCCCCGGTGCTGCTGATTAACGGTGATATAAGGAAAATGGCCTTTTCATATGATTGGTCGCAGCTCCGGTGGAAATATGAGAACACGTGCTACGATATCCCACTGGAGTATAGCTGGCCTGTCCCAGGGTGGGATGCCCCACTGACCTTCACTGCATCAGCTGTTCTTCTGAGCATTTTTAAGGCAGGCATCCCCTGTTCTCTGCCAAAGCACTGCTGTATTTTGGTGAGGAGTATCCAGAGCAATAACATCTTTCCCAGGCAGACCTTTTGCTGTGTTTTGGCAGGAGAAAAAGGCGGTGGTGGCGTCAGGAAGGGGCAGGCAGAGCTGCTTTCCCACGCAGCTCCAGGAACGTGCCCCGCGTTTGGGCAGCTGTGGGGGAGGTGAATGGGGATGCCACGTGTGGCATCGCGACTGGAGTTTCAGCCTGTCGCGGTCTGAATGTAGCATCAAATGCACGCGTCGCCTCTGAGATCGGCCCTGCGGGGTTAAATCTTTCTCGGGCTGGAAGTAAGGCAGTCTGTCAGCTCCGCTGCTGCCCGTGCTGCTCTTGCCCTTGGGTCTCGCAGCCCCGGCAGCAAGGCAGACGTGCTCAGAA